CAGTGGAGAAAAACAATGATTACAGGTAGTATTTCCAAAGTCTCTACATTCTAAAGCACTTCATCATCTCTACAATCTTTCAACAGCTTCACAGTTGGGTGTTATGAAGACACTGGAATGGGTAAGAGAATGCTTTTACTGGGTTGGGTGCCAGAGATCTGTGGAGAATTGGTGTAAAATGTGTGAACTCTACTGCGAGTGACAAGGTTAATGAAAGAAACAACATGGGCAGCTCCAGCAGTATTGTACACAAGCACAAAATGGTAAGAAGTATATGCTGTTCCAAATCAGGAAGCAGAAACCCATGTGAAGAAACTCATTAATAAATTTGTCTCAAGATTTGGTGTACTAATAGAGCTTTCTTTGTATCAGGGACAGAACTTTGAATCAGACTTGTTTGTAAAAATGTTTCAGATCTTAGGGATTAAAAAACCAGGACAACAGCCCTTCATCCATCGTTTGATGGCATTGTGGAGAAATACAACCACACATTGTTAAATTAATTAAACATACATGCAGATGAACATTAAAAAATGTAAGATCAATATCTTATACTGTTACATACAGTTATCATACAGTAGTACAAGAAGCTATTGGTAACACATCATCATTACTGATTTCAGGGTAAGAATTTAAAGTGACATTGGACTTTCTGTATTCTTGTTTGGAGAACAGTCACTCAGCAGTCTTACACAGAATGTATAGAGAGATTAAAGAACACCATTGATGGTATAAATGACTTTACGTAAAGAAAATGCAAATTAGATACTGATAAAATGAAAAGTCTCTATGATGTTAATGCTGATAACATTGGATTTCCATTGAGGTGATATGTTTTGGCTGTATAATCCCTTTGGCAAGAAAGAATAGTCTCCAAAGTTAAGTAGGTACTGGGAAGGACCATATGCTGTACTAAAAAATTCAGTGTTGTGGTCTACAGAATGCAAATGGATAGGCAATCCAAGCTAAAAGTTGTCCATCATGGTTGTCTTTGGAAGTATGCCAGTGAGAGAACAGCTGACTGGATAACTCCAGAGAAGAACTTGTCAGCAGAAACTCAATTTGCTGAGGAGCTTGGAGTTCCTGTCAAGACTACTTTCAGAGAATCACGTATCTAAAGTGAGTTTCACAAATCAACAAAGACAGAAGAGAATAATTTGTCTTTTCAAAGGGTGTTCTAAAGTAATTGAACCAGCCTGTGTGGAATTTGATGAAAAGGAGACAATTATTCAAAGCTCTGGATACAAGTGTGGTAACCGACGGGGTAATGTAAGTAAATTTATCACAGAATCTATTGTGAGAAAGAGAGATAGAGAAGAAGAATTTGTCTTGTCAATTGGGTCCTAAAGTAACTAAACATGCCTGTTTGGACTTTGGACAAGAAAATAGAATTATTCAAAGCTTTTGATACAACTGTGATAACCAATTGTGTAACAATGTTTTGTACATACGTTTAACTTGTTTTAAATACAAATTATTTTAAAACAAGTGGATTGTGTGCTGTCTGTTTATTGTTCAAATTCATCACCAACAAGTCACAGACACCTACTGTAAAAGAATCCAAGCCAATATACAAAAAACCTGACATATATGTTCATTGTAAATAATTTAACCATACCTGTCCTGCTGTAATGTACTGAGTGGATGATAAGCCAACCATCATTGTGTAAAGAACAACGGTTACAGCATCTAAGAAGAAGAATGAAATTGCCACCAAATCATGGTAAATGTCTATAAGTATTTATAGATAGATTTTATTAGAAACAATAATGGTAAGACTTACCAGTAGGTAGGTCAAGGAACATTAGATTTCAACAATTAACAAGAAATGCACCTATTTCATATAATTCTACTCTGCATTCACTAATATTATGTAGTGTTTCACAGCATTTTCCACACACACACACAGACTTGCAAAATGAAGTTTTATGAATTATAGTAATCATCATTTATAATAATTTACTTGGCCCATAAGCTAATATTTTTCCCTATATAAATACATATTTTTATCTTGAACAATACCTCCCAAGATCGCCAATACATTTAAAAATGTTCAAGTTAAGCCATACCATTTAAACAATAGAAAATATTTTTATACTTCTCATATTCAAATCATGTTGGCAAGAGTTGTTTGTCACATAAGTCAGAGAATAACAGGTGATTTATTTTCAGGATAATACTGCTAAGTACACTGCCACCAATAGAAGAGGCAAATTTATACAAGTAATCACAGCTAGTATTTACTAAAGTAATGCTATGCAAGAGGAAGTACCCGAGTAGCTTAATCTCATCATTGCATTACCATGATTTACTTTTAGTATGCATTTATATTTACTAAGAAAATAAAAATCAACTTAATACTTACCATTTAAAAGAGATTCTCCAAAAACAAGAAAGTACAAAACTTTGTTCACACCAATTTCTTGAAATATTGCTAGGACCTGAATAAAAGACAATGTCAACAGTAGTAAAATAGAAGAGAAAAAAACAACAACAATGTATCACTATATAAGCCAAAACATTATAGTCATAGGAATATCAATAAATATACTTACAGCAAAGTTGGATAAACAGTGTATCAGAATATAAGCCAAAACATTTTATTTATAGGAATATCAGTAAATATACATAGAGCATAGTTGGATAAAAACAATATGTCAGTATAAAAGCCAAGAAATATTATTTTAAAGGAATATCAGTTGAGTAAACATACTTACAGCAACTGGATCCACAGCTGAGATCAGTGCACTAAAGACAAGGCACTCCACAATTCCTACACTTATTGGCCCCATTGCACCTGCCTCAGCTAAACCATATAGACTTGATCCTGTATTTAAAAACAAATAATGTTAAAATATATAATACAACAACCTAAAACTAACTGATACACATATATATATATATATAACATTATATAACAACAACACAAAGGATGGCTCGAAATAAGTATGTTATGTTTAAAAAAAATGTTTTGACGTGCTTCATCAGGAAATGTCCTCCATACCTGGTGGTATCATCACAAAGATTATGCTGCACATCCCATTTTCCATCAGGCCTATGTGAGGTTATTTCATAATATATACAAAACAGATTCTACAATCTGGGAAAGTGTGCAACAAGATTATGTAAATAGGGCCAAATATGACAAAAACTGAGTTGAAGTAGCCATAAAAGGTGAGAACATCTAAAACTATTGCAAATGTGGCACCCAGTAGCTGAAAGGTATGTGGACAAAGGGACTGAATATCAATATTGTAACAGTTTCTCTTGTTGGACAGGTTCTTTTGGATTATTCAGTAAAATAAATGCAAAGTCCAATCAATGTAAAGATAATGAAATGTTTTATACTTTCAACTACAAGTTGCATATAACAAACGATTGTCCTAACTTCAAATAATGCTAAATAATCATTTACTTGCTAACACCTCTTGTGCATATGGTACTTCTTATTTCTACATTACTTCAGTGGAAACACATAATTTACAGTGCAAATTTAATTAATCAGCTGACACATGATAATTAATCAATCCACAATTTCAACAAGTAACTCTTGCCTAACTTGTATTTTTATACCATCAAATCATTTCTCTAATTTTAAGAAAATTACAGAAGACAATCATATGACAAGTATTTTTGGCAGTTTTATTCTCGATGGCTTATAGAACGAAGATGGGATAACCTTTTGTCCTTTAACAAAACTTGCTGTCTTGTCACTGGGAGAAGTTCTTTTCAGGGAAATGGTTGCGGGAATCCACTGGAAGTAGTTTCAACAGGAATGTTGGTCTTTTCAGACATATTGATTTACCTCTTAGCATATCTTCATACCAAGGATGACCTTTGATTTGGACCATTTGTTTTACTGGATTCTTTGTTGTTGCACTTTAGGTTGGATGTCTTCATTATCTTGTGCTTCTATCTTTGTTGTCACTGTATGCCCAACAATTGGTAGTGTAAATGTCTTGAAGAGCATGAGGATTTCCTGGTTACAGATTATGAAACTGTTTGAAGCTAACGTCACATCCATGTCTCCACATAAAGTTTAAGCCCTTCCTCAGTATATATATTATCTACACATCATGTTGTGTGGAGAAGCTTCCAACCATGAGGGGAACTTCTAAATTTCCTCTTGTTGGAAATTTATGACCACTTATTGTTCACACCAATACATCTTCTAGCTTCATCTGTGGAGGTAATTACCCTCCTTTAATTACTAGATAAGGCTGAAGAATTGTAGCCTTTCATGGCCCTTCCCATTATAATCTGTTGGTTTCTCAACTGTTTGACATTGTTGAACTGACCTGCCGAAATCTGTAACTTGATAAAGTAATGGTGTAGCTGTAGTAGTCCAGGGAGATAATGCAATCATAGATGGCACAGCTGTAGTGGTAAAAGATGCAGACCAGATAATTTCCTCTATTGTATATTACATAACTAATGGTGTTTGAGGATGGAATTATTGAGTGAATTTAGAGATTGTGCACACAACCATAAAATATGCATCGACTGTATGAAGAGATATTGGATAAAGATGGATAATTTGTGCAACTAGATAGGAATATGTTGTTAGCTGGTTCTTTAAAATGCCTTTTCATGTAATGCCTGCTACAGGAGATTAATGAAGCACAGATATGTTGGGCAACATGAGGTTCCATATACCTAGGCAACAGAAATAAAGTTAAAATGGGAGTTCAGATGTACAGTTTGTGGTTTGTTTGTTTGTAATTAAGCACAAAGCTACACAATGGGCTATCTGTGCTCTGCCCATCACGTGTACGAAACTCGGATTCTAGCGTTGTAAATCCGCAGACATACCTCTGTGCCACTGGGGGGCCAGATGTACAGACCTACATGTAGATATAAATACAAATGATCTATATATCTGATAGAGGTGTTAGGAGGATGGTGGATAATGGGCCTAGATTATGCACAAATATACTTAAACTTCATCTAACATACACATAACATGACTTACTAAATTTGCATCCAAGTCATGCAGATGTGATCTTATATGTACAACACATATTGTTTAAATTTCCAGCAAAGTCATAGGTTTATCATACAAAACCATGCAAATAATTAATGTAGATCTAAAATCATATCATACAGATTTAAATCTATATCCATACCTAGCAATATTTCAAATCAGGGCCAAGCTAATCAGGTTTGTTCCTGGTTAAATTTAGAGGAATATGATACGGATTTGATTTTACAACCATAATATATGTTGCTTACTGCCCAGTCATAGAGCCATTATTGTATTTCCACAAAAAGTGTATTGTTTTTTCTAGAATTTACACATAAGCCATACGGACTTTGTTGTATATGGAACACAACGTACTTTCAATTTCCCTGCGTGACCTTAGACCTTCAGTTGAAATAAAAGGATTTCTTATCCAATCGTATTTCGATATTCTTAAATTTTGAAAATATACATTTAGTTTTTCTGCTAGTAGTGTTAAATGGTTGCTAATCAAATCTTTTATATCCGTTTTTAAGCTGCCCTCAGATATATTTGGAAACATGTCAAACTTCTCTCCTTTACTTTCCTATTCCAAATTTGTATTCTATCTTTTAGTGCTCCAATTTTTTTCAGTCGATGTTAAATTATTTTCATCTTTTCCTTACATGCTAGTATTTATTCTGTTCAAATATATTTGAGAGATATGCCAGTTTCGTTCACCAAAGCTGATTTCAAAGTAAATCAAAAAACTCAGTTTTATTTTCACGCTGTAATAAAGCCATCAATGCATCTTTCAGCTCATACACACGACATAAAACCCGACCTCCTGATAACCATTGCAACTCGGTATGAAGAATAAGGTTTTTGTATTTTGACTCCATCTCTTCACAGATTTGCGTAAATACGCACGATTTAGGAGCCCTACCTTATATAAAATTTACCATTTTGCCTACCTTGTCCAAAACAAATTTTAATTCCTCTCCAAGGATGTTTGCAACCAAAGCATCGCGATGTAAAAACCAGTATATTGTTAATAGTTTTTCTGCCAAAGGTGCAAAACCCTTTACAACTTTTGTCATCGATGGTGCACCATCTGTGCAAATTCCAACGCAATTCATCCATGATAAATTTATATATTTCATGTAATCATTTATAACTTTGAAAATATCTTCACCTCCTGTGTTCAAAGGTATTTATTGGCAGCATAAATATTACTCAATAAATTTACCTTCGTGAGTAAAACGTATAATTGCATAAATGCTAACAGCTGTGCAAGTCCACTAACATCTGTTGATTCATCAGTTTTGTGTTGCAAACATGGCATTATTTTTTCCGACTACATTTTTCACATAATATTCAATATTTTCATACATATTTTGGATACGTCTTCCGCACGTATTGTCCGCTAACGGACCTTTTTTTCATGTCAGCCTCATATTCAACGCCAAACATTGTTCGCACTATTGCACAAATTGCTGGAATCATGTGATTGTGGTTTGAATTTGGTTGCATATCTTTTGCAATTATTTCAGCTACCAGATGGCGGGCCTGTTGAGCTTTATCAGAAGTTTTAACTTTTTAATAAATTCTACAGATTGCTTCGTTTTATTTTTTAAAATTTCCGTTAAGTAATCCTTGTTTGATTTTTAAGTTAAGCACAAAGCTACACAATGGGCTATCTGTGCTCTGCCCACCACGGGTATCGAAACACTGATTCTAGCGTTGTAAGACCGCAGACATACCGCTGTGCTACTGGGGAGATGAAGTAATCCATTGATTTTCCTGACAAATGATTGTGTTTCGTGGAAAAATTACGTAATAATTTATTTGGCTTCACAAACCAAATACTCTGGCCTAGGGCTGCATTCAGCACTGCACCATATATTTGCAAATAATCACTGTACAAACGGATTTTTGTTTCTTTTCCACGGCTACTATTGCTTGATGAAGATGAGCAAGCTATATTAGATTCATGAACGTTCTTAGGCCTATCATTGATTTCTGTTGTATCCGGTCGTTCTTGATTTTCACTGTCAACATTTTTTCTCTTCCCCATTGTAAATTTCTCCATTTTTTCGAGCTTGCACTTTTCACAACAGTTTAAAAAATATTATTTTTTAATGCCAAACCAAATATCAATAACACCGAGAATAACACATAGTTCGCTTAACTAAGCACGCTCTCAATGCATATAAACGAATATAAACAGGATCGTCGAGGCTCCTATTTTACCTGCCACTACACAAGGCTGTGTTGGCGAACCTTTTTTCGTGTCCAAAAAGAAATATAAAACATTAGATAATTTTTTGCGTGCCACATCGGGGAGCAAACTTAAAAATACTTTGTATTACTGAATTTCATAACAGCTATAAATATAAACTTCACAAAACATTTTGTGCAATTTCCGAAAACATGGCGACACCCCTAGGGGACGACGTGGCACCCCACGGTAGCGCGACACCCACATTGGAAACCTCTAAGGCTTAGAACTATGAATCTATATCTACAATAAATAAAGTTTGGGATTTAAGTATATTAAAATCTGGAGAAGCTCTAAGTTTGTGCTGTTTAAAGAATTAAATACTAAATTTGCTTACCTATAGTAAAGCAGTTTAGTAAGGTGCCCTGTAAGGAAATAACAAAATAATATATTTTTGTAAACAAAGTATCACTAAACAAATAAAAAAATTTGTTTTAGTTGTCGCTGCTTGAAATATGTTATTGCAACAATTTGTAATTTATACTTTGTTAAGTTAGTATATTTCGAAAATTATTGTTACATTAGCTAAAGGTAGATAATTTCTACAAATCGATAAACTCTATTTTCTATCTTAGGACGAATACACTCCACTGTACTTAATAGTAGGTATATATATATACGATTTACATGCATGCGTTTATTAGTATGTTGTTATTTAGAAATGGTTTATTTTTAGCCGCGGAGTTTTGTTTTGTTTTTCAAGTACAAACTTTTAGCTAGTAGCCCCGTCATCTCTTGACCAGATTTGAGATCTATTTACAATTTTCGACTCAGGAGGTTAAATCCTTTCGATTGATTATTTGATCACGCCCAAGGTTTCATAGATTGATTTATTATAATCCTGCCTAAAAGAATTTCAATTTGAGGGTAAGCTCGTACAGATCCTGATGAGTAATAAAATAAAATAGGGTATACGCGTGCCCCACGTTTGGTATTGCTGCGTACAAAAATATAGCTAATAAAAAGGGAAACAAAGGTCTCGCAGATTAATTTACTCTAAACCTGCCTTGAAAAATTTCAAGTGCCGCGGCTATTGAGGATTCCTATTTTGTTTCATATAAAATTTATCAATCTTTACTTATGATTACGTGATTACAGTAAAATGTTTAAGCAACTGAATATCATGATTTGTCAAGAGATGTTGAAATAGAAAAGGTATACTTTATAGTAAAAAATCGTATCGATTGTGGCTGTAGTGAATGGGTTAGTGTTCAGTAGTAATGCAAACAAAACTTGCAACATTTCTTATCCAAGTTTAGAAAGTGATTATTAAAAGATGCGGAAGTAATTCGATACTAATAGCACAGGTATCGTAACGTTCCCGCTCTTTTTGTTCTATTCGTCAGTGATGGACTAACAGTGTCTCAATTTAAATCCGTTATATATTCCAAGAAAGAGTCAATATATTTCCCCGAATTGGTCAATACCACATCTTTTTGCTACAGGAAAGACTTGAAGTTATATATGTGCAACAAAAACACATTTATAACATTTCAAATATATAATGCAGAATTGTAAGCCAGCAGCAAAGTGGTCGGACTTGGAATTAGCGCCCATTAAATGGTTTTCATACAATTTAGATGTGCTGAATCCGAATCTGGAAGACGCCATTTTAGCGTTCTTGAACGTTTTTAGATCTTCAAGATTCAAGGTAGCTGCCAAAACACATATTTGCTCAATAACTCAGTTTTAAAGAGAGATAGCACAATAAACTTTGTGTCTACACCTAAGTTTTCGATGTTCCTTTCAGCCTTACAATTTTTATTGGATCAATTCGTAATTCAATATGACGACCAAGATGGCAGAAAAACAACAAGATATATCACTACGGTAGCTGAAAATAGATATATCACAACGACCTTGGTACCTCTTCTCAAGTTCACAAGGGTAAGGAGCTCATTTCGCGACCTAGTAATATAGTTAAGGTGAATGTAAAGTCAATATGAAACCAAACTTCACCCAAATGCGTATCTGGCTTGATTTCGTTCCATACTTATGTTATAGTGTCCTGATGCTGAATGTTACTTTTAGCAATTTCATCTCAAAAAATATTGATCACAAAATCAGGAACTAAACATAGAATTATTCGAAATAATCAATAATCACTAATTTATACATCTACATACTTATCTCTATAAAACAAGACGTACATAAACCAACCTATACTATTGGTACTTTTCAGTGTCCTATATAGTACACATTATTATCAAATTAACTCAACAATCTAGATAAAACAACAAACGGTCGTCACTTTGTAACAGTCTTATTATGTATTATATGTAAATTATTAACTTTGTAACAAATTATATTAACTACGAAATGTGTATAACATAGCATTAACTAGAAAACTAGAATCTGTTAGTTATAGAAAGTAAATAACAGAAAGATGACACTCCACAGATTTTTCATTGTCAGGCATCTCGTGAATGGGGTTTATCTATTTATTATTGCAACTGCTAGTTTTTTTTATTATACTTGTAAAATACATCACAAGAGACCCGACTTGCAGCACAGCTACACCTAGCAGTTGAAAATAGTCGTTCATTTGCACTTTCATGGTAGATAATTTGAAGTATCTCTGGTGGATGTACTGGCTTATTACCAGAAGACATCACAAGAATAAAATTTTTTGCCACCTCACCACACTTGGGTCAAGATCTGGAGGATCTTTGTTTAGTGCTGCCATTCGTATACAAGTCTTTAGATAAGCTCACTTGACATTCTCTGCACAAGATTCTAAGGTAGGTGGAAGTGCCTTTAGCCTTGGATTAGTCTTTATGTTTTTCTGGAAATTTTCCTTAACCAAGTGACTCAGCAAACAAGCGATACTGTAGCACAAGTGGGCTTGCTTTCATAGCATACAGCTACAACAGAAGTTGCTTCCAGAAGGCCCATCTTTCATACTGGCGACAGATCATCCATATGATGAAGTCTATAGCCCGTTGACAGCACTTTATCAGTGGTCACTTTTCCTATACTCCACATACATGTGGTTGAAGCACATCCAGAAATAGCATGGACTGCCAAAAGATACTTCACAATTTGTGAGTGCTTTTTTTTATTCCTGTAAACTCCCAGTGGAGCATAGGGCCGCAACAACACCTCGCCAACGGAAGTTGTTGTTGCAGTTACTTGTAGCAGGTTTGTTTTTACGGGGTGGAGTTGCTAGCCCCACCCAACCCTCCTCCTTTCTCATCCTGGACTTGGGACCAGGCAAAGGCGGAGGTTCGGCATGTTTGGTGTGATGGGGATTCGAACCCGCGACCCTCAGATTACGAGTCGAGCGCCCTAACTACCTGGCCATGCCGGGCCATTGTGAGTGCTTATGTGAAGCTAACGCAATGTCAATGACTGTACATTGTGTATGAGTCCTTTCCATAAGAAGCATGCTTGTAAGATTGTTTGTTAGGTAGGAGTGCAACAATAAAACAAATAGATTTGTATCTTCTGAAATTACAGTGATACATTTGGCACCTTGTAGAACGACATCCACAGTTTGTCATATTATTACATCTGCTGCTTCCTGATCACAAGTCATCCCTCGCAATGACACATCCAAGGCGAACTTCTTCTCGAATACTGTTTGAGCCAGTGACAACCAGCTTGTGATTGTATGCTTTGGCTTTTTCTGGAGTTCTTTTACTCGCTTCATAAGATGTTGTCAAATTATGTCGATAAATTACACTCTTATTGTTAGTAGAACTGAGCATGATTTGTTGACATAAAATTGGAGAACTGGACTGCAATATTTCATTTCTAGTGGTTTGTGATCCTGTGCAACATTGTCTTTAGACACTCTTGATGTTAAATCATAATAGCAGTCAAACATAAGACTTCAAATTAAAAACTATGCTAAAATGTATGTAGCAAAACCACAGGCATAGTCTTGCACTGTGTCATTGGATGGCCAGTGTATTAACCACATGGTAGCACACCCATCTTTGACCACAACATTTGGTAACTGCACAATATGTCCAGCCTGCCTCATATTCTGTCATCTGCTGCTTGCCAATTGCGACTGCTTGGATGTTCCTCTGGATTAAGAGGATAAATACAGGTTTGCTGCTTCGTACAGATTTTCTTCCTGTTTGTGTTGTCAGATGCGATAATTACTTGCATTTCTTCCTTATGAATGGTCACCTCGGCAGATTAATAGACCACTGTCTCCCATCTCCACCAGGTCCTTAAACAACGAGCTCGAGTGTCCACCGTTTTATAGCTTCTGGATTAAGTATGATACACACTAGACTTCCTGGCCACATACCATTTAACAGGCCACGTTTGTGTGCAAGACATGTTCACAATTGATGGATCTGGCAATAACATATGTGTCAGTTATTCTTTAGACCAAAGTTAGAACAGACGATGTTTTTCACAATGAATATAATATGCAGGAAAAATTAATAGATCAGTGAAGTAGCTGCATGCAAATATTGTGGCCAGTCTGCTTCACATTCTGCTCTCGTGAACATTAAGATAACCACTGTTTTGATTAGATTTTCCACCCACAATTTTTGAGAATTATAATTCTTAGTGTTCAAGTGATTTTCTCACAAAATTTCCTTGACAGCCTGTCGAAGTGCTCAGATGTTCACAGGGAACTTTTCCCTGCAAGCATTCTGCCTCTTCCTTCAAACGTTGATTTCATAATATCCTGTAATCCACTTTCAACCATTAATTTGCCCACACATCCAATGAAAGTCATGCTTGTTCTGCCCATTTTAGGATAAGTCTGTTTGACGCGATCATGACCTGATAGAGCTTTTGATCAATGGTGAAGATGGTAAACTTCTGATCTTCTTTACACAGAAGCCTTTGCACTTCAATTGTAACTATCATCATTGTAGAGGAATCTGAGGGGAGGGAATCACATCAATTAGTGGCCAGTATACAGCTTTCGTTGCAGGTCTTAAAGCTGCACTGTTTTCCTGTGACAGCTTTGTATAAAAGCCGCTAAATTCTGGCGTCGTTGAATCAGCCACAACACTTTTCGGAAATGTGAAATCATGATTGCGTGACTTTAGTTGCCAGCTGTTGCTTGGTGAAGACTTTCAGGGGAAGAACAGATTGTTGGGGCTCGCAAAATGGGCTCAAAACTCCATGGCTAAAATAAAATTAATGTGGGACTCACATTCACTGCACATATATGAGAATATACAGGTTGTGTAAAATTCTGTTGTACGCTTGTATAAAATATTCTTTAATATACCTATATTAAACATTTGCTCGAAACTTTGTGTAATAGATTTTGTGTTACAAATGTAAGCACATTCATATCATTCTGCAAATTGAGTATAGAACATGAGAAAAATATATCACAGAACTTTTCAAAAAATATCACTAAATCACGTACCTTTTTAGTGTAACGAGGCCTTAAGTATTTTAAAACCTGTTTTGCAACACCTAAACAGTGCTGAATTATTTCTGTAAATATAAAATCTAGTATTGATATATTTTTTGCGAGTAAGCGTTATACTTGCTTATATTAGTAAGCAATATAAAGCAATCACGTGGTTTTACGTGGGTACGTTGCGTTTTATTAAAATATTACAAAACAGAAACTAATTTGGATAATTTATCTATGGTACCAAGATCAATAAAACAGTCCTTTTTATGGTATTTCATTACTTCACTACATTACGTCTTTACACTCTGGGGTACTCTCAGTCTCAGTATTACGTAAGTAACTTTATAACTATTAATTACAGTGACAATTGAAATCATTGTTGAATAGTGAGACTTATGTTGATCCTAAATTAACCTGAGTAGGTGGCAAAATTGGGTAGCCTTTCTTAGCTGTTAATATACATACATATCGAAAGAAAACCCACTGAGTTCGTGCACATCCATTCACACATCTGTTCTTCTTACAACACAGAATGCTTGCAGCTTCGGTAGTGTATAAGTATCATTCAGTTACTTCACTGTTACTTACTGTTAAAGAAACTAATGAGAAATTAACTTAAATTCATGGGTTTTTTGGTCTTTATTTACAACAGCAATATTCAACCTAATAGTATCTATTTTATTTGTAAAAGTAGTATTAGGGAATTCTCAGTTAATACAAACCAGTAAGGCGTAAAGCAAGATCGTGCCAAGGTTGCTGAAGAAGGCACTGTCATGGAGGGAGTATGCCGACTCTAGTATAATTCTTCAAAAAGAAAAAAAATTGATGAGAAAAATCATATCAAGAATATTAAAACAAAAAATTTACAAACTAGAAAGTTATAAACGAAAGCCATAAATTCTTCAAAATGACATAAAAATGTATTTTAGCACAAAAAAAAAATGGTGTGAAAGTGCAGATTCTTGTAGAATTGTAAAGCAGGAATGTGTATAAACAACATCATAATAGAAAATAAAAAGTATTCTCGCTTGAAAAGAAGTAACTTATTTACATGACCGATATCGACGACTTTTGACAAATAAATATCAAAATAAATATGATATTTTATAAAAGTACTTTCAATAAATGAAACACACAATATGAAGGATGATTGGATAAGTAGCGGAAGGACAGTTGACTGGTATTATAGAGAGACTCCGAGAAGTGAAAACAGTGTTGAGCAGCTATACCCAAACTTGGTAAATGTGAAATATACTAAAATGCATACAGCTGTAAAAAATACACTTATTGGTAATGTGCAATCATAAGGGCAATGGTTTTTTAACCCATATCTATTGATATACATGGAAAGGTTTGTTTTTGAATTTCGCGCAAAGTTACACGAGGGCTATCTGCGCTAGCCATCACCACCCACCGCTAACTCTTGGGCTACTCTTTTACTAACGGATAGTGGGATTGACTGTCACATTATGACGCCCCCACGGTTGAAAGGGCGAGCATGTTTGGTGTGACATGGAAAGGATTCAGTTTACTTTCAAGACAATAATCTACAAGATGTGGTATATGGTAAACTAGGCTTATACGTACAGATAATATGACATTATAGTTGTGTGTGGAGGCTTCAATTAAATTTATCGTACAAGATTTATGAGGCTTATAATTTTTGTCATGAAAATAAATATAAGTAATTAGATATAGCTGTTGGAAAATTATTATGGCAATAACATTGTTTAATAACAGATACTGTCATTTTCTAGCATGTTTTCAATTTAGGAGAAAAGTGAAATTAGCTCTTCTTTCAACTTGAATATATAAACACAACTATATACACCAGACTACCCCCCAATCTAGTAGTCTTCCGATAATTCACGAAGGTTCG